GTGATCCAAACTACATTAACTGTGATTGTTTGAATCATGCCACTCTCGGAGAACATTCATTAACGACATTCTTCCGCCGAGAGTCTGAGTCACTGTTATTTTGAGAAATCATTAGAAAACCAACTTATTTTGTCGACGTGTGCAAATTTATTTTATTTCTCGTTGCCATCTGTTTACAGCAATTATATATGCAAATTCTTCCATGATAATTAGGTGTGAGCACACATAAAAATGCGTCGAATGTGTGTGTGTTTTATTTGGTTTTATCGGTTAGTTTATAATCGTCATTCGCCATAAATAACGTCATTCTGTGTCGTTTCAGTGAATTTTAAACACGATCGCTTCAATGTTTGACATCGAAATTACTTCTCTGAAACAGCCATGTAGATAAAGACAAGACTGTACTATTTACTATTGCTTGAAAATTAAATGTAAATTTAATATTCCATCTCAAATATTGGAGACATTTGTATATGAAATATTTATTTTTTGGGGGCCTCTGGTATGTTTTATTATACATTTAATTTATTTATATAGTTCGTTTCATTATACGCTCATGCAACAAAATTATATGCAATCGTAACGCTGTAAATCCCTTCACTGTGTTTCTCTGCTTTGTTTGTTTTCTTATTGCTAGGCGCAGACGACGAATAGGTGATTTTCCGTACAATTGCGAGATCTCGCGAGATGCATGAAAGACGCGCGTCGAACGTCTGCCGCAAAAATCGAACGATTTGATTTTGAACTAGAATTTCTTTATTTCGCAGCTTACATTGACCCGCCGATCTTCGACAGAGGAATATTGCTTCCGAATACCCTTACTTAATCGAAATTGCCTATCATCAAATGTGGACAGCACATAATTAAGCATGGAAATGTCCCCGAAATACTTTCGCGTTTGTCGAATCCGACGCGATGTTTAACGCGACTACGACGCTATGACCTCTGTTTGTCCTGTTTTTACGTTCAATTTCACGCATAACGCGTGATTCTCGCAGTGAACGGAAAATGGTCTATTGCGGATTTATGCATGTATTTGGAATTGTTGTGCCGTCGAAAGCCTTTCTTTTCCCTATAACTGTAATTGTGCATTCACTATGTGGTTTCGATGTATATGTATAGTGTCACTTTTAGACGTATCTCTACTTTTTCAAAATACTCGCTGCTGTTGTTTCAGTTGTTGGGCCACGCCGTCTTCGGTGTGGGACCCATGTCATCAAACGCGCGTTAGACGACTATAGCGCTTTACTAATGGAAATAGGTTTTCTTTTGAAACAAACAAATAAAATAAGCCCAAATAACCACACGTCTCCACAGCATATTTGCAGCTTATTGTATCCAATTGTAGACAATATTGACCGAACCAAAACCAAAAAATAAAGCAAAAATCAACAAGGAAGAGATGTGACATACAACTAATTTACAGAGAGCGAGACTTCTCAATATATTGAGTTGAATTTCCACTGTTTTCCAGCATGACTATTACTTTAATTGAGAAATTCGTTATGTGTACCGATCACGGAAACTTAACCATATGTTTACATGTATTTCAATCAGTAACTATGGCAATAGCCTCTGTAATGAGAGAGCTATCTTCAGTTCGATGCAAATCCGATGGTGATGAGCATGACTACAGGTGCCATGACGTCACGAACGTCAAACTACGCATCTAAATTCTCTTTGACACTAAATATCATTAACATGTTTCCAAAACGAGGCCAAGTTGCTCTGAAATGTTGCCATGACATCGAAATAACATCTCGCGTCAAATGAATGATAGAATTCTATTGTCAACTGCAATCTTTTTATAAGCTGCGTTTTTTTTTTTTTTTTTTTTTTTTTTGATTTACAGGTTGAAATCGATGCATTACCAATGAAATGAAATACCGCATAGCTGATAGCTCATCGATTTCGATTTTGGGAATGCATGTGACGCATGTGTTTTGAAGTTGTACATCGTCACTATATCTAATCCTTCTAATTCCGTGCATATTCTAAAATTCACAAACTGTATAACACACTTTCCTAAACATGATTGAGAAGTGTCTGTCCTTTGTGTTTTACATGTTTTTATTATTATTATTTTTTGGACCATGCTTGTGTGAGCGTTTTTGACAAATGTTCAATTTCCCGTAGCCTTCATTTAATTTATGTAATATTACGTTTACGGAATGAACCTTGTCTTGGTCAAATTAATACCAGCTCAAATGAGCCCAGAGGTGTGGAATATAATCACATACCACGAGACATTCTTAAATTATTCAAAACACGACTAACGTCAGTGAAGTCACGAAGGATCGCGTCCGATTTGTAGCGATCAGGACTGGTGTAATTTAGAAAGCGAGAGCGTACAATTCCCACAGGCACCTGTCATGCACTGGCATAATCCGATAAAAATAAGCCATAAGGTTATTTAATCCGTAATCCAACTTCGCACAGTCTATAGAATTGTGGATCAATATAAAATATATATTATGTCGCTATGCCGTGGTATCGATCGGTATATATATATATAACTATATCAAACTATTCTCTCAATCAAGCCTTGTTTTTATTTTGTCGTTGTCACTATGAAAACATTAGGCTTATATTTGACAAACGCGATTACGTATGCCAGTTATTGCATATTTATACTTAATAAGCAGGTTGTCAATGAGTAAAGGAACACCGTGCCTTCATTCAATATCATATATAATTTGAGTTCGTTTGTTTGTTCATTTAGACAAGATTTTACTGTCAGTATGCAATACAGTCAATCGAATCTCTGAATATGTGAAAGATATCTGGTGGGTTCTAAATATATATTAGGTACGTCGTTTCAACGTAACTAACTTGACTAAGTCACCGAGAGTGGTATTACATGGCGCCACAGTCGTCGCGTTGTGTTCGACGTGGGTCCCATAGAAATTATGCAATGCATAAATTACGTTGTTTGTTTACACGTGATTTGAACACGCACGTGACGAGTCAGGTGCTTTAAGTATAGGTGGTAAAGGCAGTTTCTGGAATTTGTCGACAGCATCTATCCATAACACCAGGGACCAGCATCTTTGGTTTTTAAACTAGATCCTAACTAAATTCAACAGTCGGTACAGTGTTTCATCTTTCAGGGCCTGTGCATAATGACACGAGGAAGCGCTGAAATTCGTGTTTCAAGTGAACGGATATTACATTACCTACTCTTTATACGATTATGAGACAAAACTGTCAAAATACAAGTCAAGTTAAGTCCAATAATATGTTGTCATTTAGTATGATTTTGTGAAATTAATCATTACGTACACATATTCGTCCATATAAAGAAAAGCTATTTCCATAATAGGAAACACACTCGATCGGTGGCGTCATGCGCAGAAGTTTCAAATCAATCAGTTAAACAGTTGTACGCCGTCTGAAACAACATCCATAACGTCGAATGTGACCTTTTGTCACCACGCAGATTTTGTTTAATCTACTTTAATCAAGTAAAAACAAGTATTACACCTCGAGGTCAAGGGGCAACATTCCCGAGGAGAAATCGAGTTAGCGTACTGTGCTGTTTATTCGGATAAGATCAATGCATGTGTAATAATTTCTCGTCTATGCCGGAGGGAATTTCACAATGGCGCAAATGAAATTTGCAATCACGCAACTCAGATTAAAATATTTTTTAGTGAAAATATTAAAAAGCACAAAAGCAATTTAATGAGTGCATTGTTGATGGTGTGTCGTGTGTTTCGCGGTATTTTAATAGATTTTAGTTTTCTGGCTTCGCCCAGCGCGCATGCTAGTGATGATTTATACGTCCTGAAAAAAAGAAATGAAAGTTATTGGGATATTACTTTACCTTGAACACACTCGATTGAGCTAATTAAATATTAATGTAATTAGAATTAAGATTTTTTGCTGTCCGACACTTGAAATCGAAATAAAACCAAGCGTTATTAGGTGTTTGCTTTCAGATGAAAATTTTCTTGTTTTGATAAAAGACAAAAAACAAGCATGATTATACTCTCTGTACTCATAATGAAGCTACGTACATAATAAGCTACATACAAAAACTCGGCTTCGCCTCGTGCTTACTTTTAATGGCACAGTGATCGTGTAATCGTGTAATCATATTTACAACAACGAGTGAGTTTTGACATTTCATGTCTGAAAATATCAGTATGAATAGCAAAGGAATACGATTCGGGCGTGCATTATCAACCTTAAATTACTCGATGGGTACTGATTTATATGTAAAGTTAATACTAACATCACAAATTCCCCCTGATAACGCTGAGCGGATTATGCGTCACGGTGTTCCGTAATCGGTAAAGGTCTTGAGGGTACCACGTGATCATTTCAAGACAGACGTGATTATTAAAGTCAAACGTAAAATCATAAAGAAATTGTGTTTGTCATTAACAGTTATTCCAATAACGATCGTGACTGAAACTTACATTGAGTACACAAGAATAATGCTCGCTTTGTAAATATCATGTAAATTACTAGTAACGGCGACTATGCAAATTAACTGTAATTAGGTTGACTCGTATCGAAATTCAATGCTCGACGACTTTCATTGCACGTTATATACACAATAATATTTTCTATTAACATGTATTTAGGTAATCTTCGACGCAATGATTTTCACTTCCATTGAGACGCAATCAGCAACCGTTTCACAACATAACAGTGTCACCATATACGCGACGAATACTGTATTTAATCATCAGTGTACCATCTGTACAACAAGTACAATTCGTCGGTGGTGAATGTAGTCATTGTATGGTCGCTGTACATGTTTTACGTCGAAATTCTGAATAAACTACTAATATTTGAATGCTTTTAGATAGCTGCACTCTGAGACTCTCTTGAAACATTTGAATGAAAAACTGAACGCCTTTGCCATCATGATCGGTTGATGAAACTGCGCTTGAACTTGCGCAGTTCGGAAAATGAGCAAGGCCTGCTCAAATTGCACTACGTTCTAGCTCTAATTATCTCTCTTTTTGGGTGTTATTTTATCATTTCAGTTGCTGGCTAATTATTTGTTGTATAGCTGTGCCGTCCTCCTCGGTTGTGTGTCGTACCTAATGATGGACCGAAAACTTCGCAGAGCATTCCAAGACACAAGAGCGTCACTCGAGGTCAAGGTGTCGTTAGAAGAACAGAAACAGCAGCAGGTAAGGTGACTCTTATAGGGGAACAGACTAATAAAGGCATGGTTCGAATCTCGCGAGATTCATGGTGATATGATCGTCAGGTGACATGCCGACCTATCACCATCAAAGTCGGCGATGAGGCATCTCAACCGGGGCGTATAATGTGTTCAACTATATGAATTTAAATCCGTTTGCGCTGAAAACTGGTACCCTTTCTTTTATCACGCAGATAAGCGCCCTCACGAGGTGTAAGGCTGGATATGATGGCCGATTGACATATACATGTAGTACGTTGTTTTTTTCCTGTAAACAGATATTGTAGAGGGTGTAAACAACGAACAAACAGTGCTAGTTGATGTAATGCACAGTTGCTAAACTGGGAACCTCTTAATAATAACAGTCCATTTAACATTAACAATCTCCATAATGTACCTTCTCGTTACTATGATTAAATTGCTCGTTAACTATACCCCATTTGTGTGTCACGTGACTTTGTTCCATTATAAAAGAATGAAACTAAGTAGCCGTAAACAGCGTGCAGCGAATTCGCATCATTACGTCGTTTACGCTGCGCCGACCACACTGGGAAATTAAACAATTTATTACTGGTAGCCGGAATGAATAAAGAATATACATGATACTTATTATAATACATAGACTGTTAATTTATTTATAGTGCTATATTATAACATCATCGTGCCAGTAAGCTCTATTGTACCCCCCCCCCCCCATTAATTTATGATTTAAAACATACAAGTCTGTAGATATTTTTTTTTTAAATGAAAATTGGTTAGATTATTTGATGCAGAATGCCATATTTTAAGAGCTAGCAGTAATCTCCCTTCAAATAAAAACGGAACATGTTACACTGCTGTCTTAATTAACTCTTTACTGTACATACAATTAATTTGTTAAAGTGAAGTGTTCGTTATAATGAAGTACATAGTACGCTGGGTTTGTTATGAGCCGGAGACACGCCATGTGTTTATAAATCCAGAAATTAATTATAAATGTGTTCATTGTAACCTTTCAATGTACCATACAATGTGTGGTAGAAGCGTTAATAATTACAAAGACAATATAGATAGTACTTTTGAATCTGTTTAAATTATTAAGTTGGAGACAAAAAAAAACATCTGTATAAAAACAATACGGTATGATTTACATACATACATGATTTACATTTTAATGAAAGCCTGCTGATAGGCTTGTGCTGCAGTAATGGAAATGACATTGCGCATGCGCATGGTATTACCCGTACGTGAACGTTTATGTAAATTCAAGACGCATGCGATTTGCGTTTTGAAATGATTTCATACTCTATTTTCCCTACCAAGATCGAATATCTAACAACTGATTCTAACAAAAAACGGTTTAAACGTCGGTATAATAATTAAATCATAGTTTTTATAACAAACAGTTATATAACGGTATGATCACCCACTTATACATGAATTCTTAGCTAGCGTGTAGCCACGCTCTGTTCTCTTCGGCGGTGGTTTGCTTGTTCATATATTGGAATCTTGGTGCTTGAAATATCTCACTAGTTAAAGTGCTCATGCGTACATGCATATATTATTATTATATAATCAGTGTCCATTTTTCTTGTTGTTATAGGAAACACTGTTACTCTCTGTCCTTCCAAAACACGTAGCGGCTGAGCTTCAAGATGACGTAGGCAGGTCATCCATCCAAAACGGTCAATTTAATAAAATTTATATCAGGAGATACGAAAACGTCAGGTAAGACGTAAATCTGCCCACATAATGATATGATTCATTCGTCAATGTCTGATGTGCATCGATTAAAATGGAACTTTTTACGAGGAATTGATCATCTTTGAGCATGCGCAGTTCATAGCAGGCTTATAGCAGCGTATTTTATAACCTTCAATCACGATTTTTGTGTAGAAAATAAGTTGTTTTTTTTTTTCAATATATTACGTAATATATATATTTATATTTTTTTTCCAAGCGCTCAAAGCATATTCTTTCGCTTGAATGATGAAGCAATCTTCAAAATGCAGCTTTGACAACTTGAATGCGTCTAGAGGCCAGACATCGTAACTGGCTATTACTATAAACTAAACACCACAGTTTCTATTTTTCCTCTATTCCCAGTATCTTGTTTGCCGACATCGTTGGGTTTACCGCCATGTCGTCGAAATTGTCAGCGCACGAGCTGGTCAAGGTGTTGAACGGACTGTTCGCGACGTTCGATAAGCTAGCTGATGTAAGTAGCGATTACATATGACATATCGCATATTTTTTTATCGAATCAAAGAATATTTTACGTATGGGGAGCACGACAGGACTGTGCCATATCATCTCCTGTCCCGCGCTGAGTGGCAATTAATCTAAATAAAACACGCTTTCTGTGCATTCATTGCACCACCCATTGTTTAACGATGATTTATTGTATAACTAGTGTTTTGTTGATCATATTGCATGAAGATAAATTACAAAACAGGCTGGAGAGATTATACACTGGCTATTTCTAGCCTTCTTGTATGTAAACGAAGTATCGAGCCTGAGGTCTATATATTCAGTTAAATCACGATGTTTGCTTTTTGCTCAGTCATGAGCGCAAATATTTCACCATGTTTTGTTTAATCTCGGCTCATCTTTTGAAAGTAAATATAGATTATTATGTTAATATTGCTATTTATTTATTTTTGCAAAAATGCCAGCAAGCTTACACGTAAAACACACACAAAAACACAAACTACAAATCCTGGTGTACTTGAAAGGGGGTCAAGCAACATTTCTCGTGCCCTTGTATTAGCATATAATATTCAGTTTTCTATTTTAATTTGTTGTATCCATAGCAACACAACCAATTAAGAATCAAGATTCTTGGAGATTGCTACTACTGCATATGTGGTGTACCGGACTACAATTCTGATCATGCCAACTCGACTGTACAAATGGGACTAGACATGGTCGTAGCAATCGCGTAAGTAGTTTATTACATATAGGTAACGAGAGTGAACTTCGCAGCTGTTAATAAAATGTCAAGTCTCATATTGTCTTCAATCTGTCGCGGATAAGGAGCGCAAAGCTGAGGCGCAAAGGAGAACATCAATCACAACAACTTATCTGTTTTACAGTCAGTTTGTCACTGTTCCCCGCAGTCGATATGATGTAAACCGTCGTAAAATCTGATAAATGCGACGCTCGGGACTGTAGTCACATGACGATGCGCGAAATTACAAAATTGTTCACATAATAAAAAAAAAGAAACATCATAGATCACCCTTAATAACTCAGTAACTAACATGCACAGCTGTGGTTGTCGCCAGTAGCAACCACCTGATTTATTTCGCTAAGGCTATCTGATATTGAAGCCGTTTGTTTCACGCTGCTACCCGTCGCGGCTGAGCGTGTCTGCAATGGTAGTCCCTTGGCTAATTGGCACCTACCTATTTTGTGAGATCTTTAATACCTACTCCTTTCCAGAGACTTACTCATAAATGATCCTTACGTAAAAACACCACTCTAGACGGAGTTAAGACGTGACTGGCATATTGCAACTCAGATACGCTATGTAAAGCAGCTATGTAAACAAGTTGGCGCGTTCCTTGTTAGTACAAAGAATACTAAACAACCTAAGAAATGAGGATTCCAGGAGAAGTCCCATTCTAGCTGCTTCAATTTAAATTAATGTATAAGGCATGATCAACGTAATTCCCCGACAAACAAATAAGTCTTCATTTTACATCTGCTGACGCTGGTCACTCAGCGACTAACTTGAAAGACCACGTCTGATTTACGACTCCATTGCTTCATTCCTTCTCAACAGCAACGATGCGACTTTCGGGTAAGCTTTTTTAAATTTGTCCACGGCTTGTCTCTCTTTACTGTGGAAAATCACCAGCTGTGACGCTGTCACCGATTGGCTACTCGAGCCGTCAATCAATTGGTCGTGTGTATAAATCACATCGTACCACTCAGTTTAGTATGCAAATCATACCGAAATTCCGCGCACGCCGCGTCACAGTGCTTGACGCTGAGTATTTGACGAGTAAATTGCTGATTTCGAGATGACAAAACAATTACTAATTGTAAACTTCGAGGTATATGAATATTTCCCTCTAACGTGACAATTATTAGAGACCCAGCGGAGAATAAGTGTCTCATCAGGGAGAGAGAGCATCTTCGTGTACCCATCATCTCGTGTAGTTTGTAATTGTTTGATAATAGGTTTCATTAAAATATATAACTTTTTGCAAAAGAAAATATCGGGATATGAAGAAATACTCTAACTATGAAATAATCATGTTTCTGGTTCTCACTCACGTTAAAAGCTATACATTCAGTTCATTTATTTTGCGAACGAAACATATAGTTTTCATGAAAAAAAAAATTAACGAAAACACCCCTTTTTCGGAACCTATATGCATTCCCCATAAAGTTTCAAACTTATATTTCTCGAAAGATTGTCAAGTGACCTCATATTTGTTTCTATTTTCTAAATGACTTGAACCCGCTGCGTGAAGACAATTACTTCTAAAAGCTGATGTTCCCGTGACGTTATTAGACAGATATGTTTTCAGTGCAGTGCGCACTGTAACTTTGTGTCCCGTTTAAATCGGCAATTGTCACAGCGGCATATGAATCGGTAATAACATAAGGCATCAGCTATCCCGATAACGATCTCTCTAAGTACGTCATCTAAAACTAGGGTTATGACGTATTTCGTATTCTACTATATATGAAGTACCACTCTGAGGTCATTTCTAACGGTCGATTGGAATATGAATTGAAATGTTTGAGGATTCGAGTTTGCGCCAATTGTGGGAAATATGTACTAAACGTTCAGTTTTCGATGATCGGTTTCCATTCGATTAGTCAAAGTTGCAATATGCGCTGATTTCATAACAGGATAGAGAATTCGAGCTAATTTCGTGCGATTAGATATTTTACGTAATAATACCAAGACTCTAATAAAGTTTTATATATTGTGCAACTGTTTTTAACATTAAACTACTAGCAATCAATAATAATGATAATTAGATAAATGAATAAATAAATGGCTCATGTTTATCTAAATGTTGTTTGTAACGTACGTGATTACTGAAAAGTGGGCATCACGGTGAAATTCATGGAGTGAGAATTTGGAATAGACGCGGGAGCGTAGTTGACTGGACTACTCTATGCCAAAGTGGTGAGGTCGTCACCTGCGCATGCGCAAGGCAGCTTTAGTATGTCGTTCTTCATACAAGCATGAGCCTTTGCATTTTAGCGTGCGTTGTTATCGTCGCTTAGGGCTACCCGGGTGACAAGACCCCCGATTTAATACTGTACTGTACTCCTATATAAACTAATTCACACATTTCACATTCGCTTGGGGTTTCATATGACTGGCAGCCGTCACCAGTGCTAATCTAATTGTTTCCCGTAGGACTGTTCGGGAGAAAACCAAATCTGGCGTTGACATGCGTGTTGGCATACACACTGGTGCTGTTCTGGCTGGTGTTATGGGACAGCGACAGTGGCAGTTTGATGTGTGGAGCAAAGATGTCACTTTGGCAAATAATATGGAATCTGGTGGTGTCCCGGGGTAAGTTTGCAGTTAAAGACAACTGTAGCGTACTACAACCAGAATAGAACTTAGAATGACCAATTTAGTACACTTATTAACTGTAGCAACGCGTGCAAGTGTCATACACGCGTGCCATGCAGACTCCTGCAGCTGGCGCCTTGCGCAGTAATTCACAAAAAACTTGCAAAATTTATAACTACTGCCGAAGAAATTAGAAACGACGGTAAATAATTAAACACATGGACAGCAGTATTGATAAGTTATGTAATACACACGTCTCCAGACTCGCAGCGTATCTGCAACGGACACTCTTTTTTGCCCATGGTTGTGGGCACTAACGCATCGTGTAAACATTCTATTACCACAGATAGTCCTCACATTGGAACGTCGTAGGCGCAGCCAGTTATATTATGGTTTTACTGTGACTCAATACTAAGTTTCACATCGCAATTGGAATTTGTATGACGAGACATAGTCACATCGGCGCCCGGGTATAGGAACCCGGATGCAACGTCATTTTCCTTTTGAAAACATTTGAATGATGTGGATACTCAGCTGAGTCGACTTTTCAGCATTCCGAGTACCAGTTTTGGTTGACTTAGTTTACAACTTACAGCTTCTGTGATGACACCGATGACAAATTTACTTTATATAGTAGAATTTTTTTATAAAGTGTTTGGTACTTTCTTTTTATGTATAATAACCCTGCTTTTCAAGCTGTGCATTGTCGTCTATGGGGAATTTATTTATAGTATGAGACTTGTTGTACAATGCCCTCTATGGTCAGATGAGATGTAATATGTTCAACAAGTTTAATTATACTAAATGTTTGTTTTTTTGGTTAATACAGGCGAGTACATATATCTGATTCCACATACGAATGCTTGTCGCAAGACTTTATTTCTGAACCAGGAGACGGAGATCTAAGAAACGATTACATCAAGGCCAGAGGAATTAAAACTTATCTAATCAAAGCAACGGCGTTACCTATTAAAAACGTGAGATTATGTGAATTTCCGGTGATTTATATGTAATTGCTTTGTTATCTATGCCGTAGTGGGCGCTATTCTGATATTTGTAATTTCAAATTAATTTAATTATTCAGGACAGTACCATCAACCGTTATGAGTTTATTGCAATGTTGAGATTTATTGTCATATATTGTTAATGCTAAGATTTATTTGTGAAAAATACTGCCAGACTGACATTGATTGAAAGTTTATTTATAGAGTAGAGTGGGAAAGGAAAACAAAAAAACACAAAGTAAAAAGTGAATCACGTTATTGTAACCTTGGTCACTTGAACCATGCCTCATTATAAGCTATTTATGTATCACTGACGTGATTATGTCTGAAATTACATCCTTAGTAATTAGCTCGCGTGCCTTTTTCAGAACTAATCATGGTCATACAATGTTTTCAGGGTACAACTCAAATTGACAGTTTGGGCATTCCAGTCGAGACAGTGATTGACGTCGGTGACGAGAAGGGGTCACATGATGAGGTAGGTACCAGCATTTCACACACACACACACACACACACACACACACACACAGAAAAATACGATTATATATTACATTACATTACGTTATTTTTTTACATCCATGAACTTGAAAATGGGTTTAGTGTAGCATACGTCAATAGAAATAAAACTGTCACATGAACTGGTCAATTTTCGTTTTCGCAGACTTTTATCCCCGCGTAAAGAATTTTACAAAACCCTGTTGCAAACGGAAAATAATATTCTTCATAATACATGCAAAACTATATGAATTATTAAACTAATATCTGGTGGCAACAGTGATGGCATGCCGAGGGTGTCAGTTACCAGGTTTCGCAATGATTTCACACTCTCATCTGTTCTGACACACGCACGCCGTAGAGTACAATCATATACTTGTGTATATTATGCGGTACAACTTAGAAGGCGATTTGTTAACCATAACGTAAACTTTCGTAATTTATGTTTGCAAGTTTGCCATGTAACGTTAAGTAAAACCCGTGTGGACATTGTATACTGATATCCATCGTTGTTATTTCCAACAGGTTGAAAGCGAGAAGAACGCAAAGACGTCATTGGCGGCGAGGGCACAGAGTGCTAGGCAAATTGGCTGCGACGCCGAAGTCAACAAAATCATTTACGAAGCCTTGGTGGAACGGGAGCACAATGCGTAAGAAAAAAAAAATCGTCACATTATCCATTTCCATACCTAACGAACGCATTGACTGGAAAAAATGCAATTATGGAAGATTACCATCTTCATTTCATCCCAGTTCCTCGCGTAATCAATCCTCGTCTGTGTGATTGTGTGTGGAAAATTAAATGATTGGGCAATCAACGTGTGCAAATAATATGTAATTTATAGGTATTAATTAGGCATGCCAGTTCAAGCAAAACCCAATCAACTGATCTCTAAATTTACAGCAACAAAAAAAATGCTCCGGAAACTGTCAATATGTGGGCTTGCCATGTCGAATTTCATATGGTGCTGTACCTTGATTTCAAATCTGAAACTAACTTATAGAAAATACTTTCTGATAATTTCATGTAAGACGATTCAGAAACTACAGTTCCACATTTAAAGTTAGACGCTCTTATACCATTCTCAGAAATACATTAGTAATAATGAAATACGACACTATATTCAGACTGTGTTCTTTTGTCGATGTGCTCATTTCACTCGAGGCAATTATTTTTTACGCCTGACATTTACTGGTAAATCGTAGCGTGTAATGAGAAACCGCAATAATTATGTGACTGTGTCTGTTTCTTTGAGCGCGGTATTCTTACTGCCTGTACACATTTAACACGGGCACGAAGCATTGTCAGTTCATTTGGTAAATTAGATACGTAATGGTGAACAATATATAAACGGTGATCGGATTTCAAAATGGCGGTATAGTAAATTGCACAGTGTTAAACGTGGGCTTCTTGCATGGGACTGATTTTTGTATGATTTCCCAACAGTTTAAGCGCTTGATTGGCACACCCTATTCGAGATGCTTGGTGTGTATACGTTCCCGTCGCTCTCGTGAGACTTTGTCTAAACTCGCGAGACGTTACGGTCTTTTGCGTATTCTAATTGTTTAAACACATCAGAACTGATTTGAGCCGTGAATATATGAGTCAGGCAAACAGCAACAACGACGTCACAACAGAAACTACAGCGTCATTCACTTTCATGTCTTTTCAATATTGAGCATTACGCACAAAGCAAACAATCAGAACATTCGGCGCGCAGTAAAACGCAGAGTACATGGCATAGTAATGATATTTAGTGAGAACAATCGCAAGAAATTGTGTACGTGTAAGAACAACGGAATACTAGAACTACTAATTGCGGTGGAATACAGAATAATAATTACGCCGTGTACGGAATACAAATAAATAAAGTTATACCGCCATTTGTGCATATTGACAGCTATTGCTAGAATTTTCTTGTAAAGTAATCTGACTGCCGCTATGTTACAAGACAACAAATAAATGGGACGTGGGAGTTCTACTTTGTGAAATGGAGATAAACATTTAACAACCCAGTAATTGCTATATAACGTATGAATGTTCGAAACTATAAACCTCAATGTAATTTTTTGACATATGAAGAGAATCATCGATGCACCCTGACATTTGATATTTCAATGTCAACGTCAATAGCATATGCTTAATGAAGAACACGTAAACGATCGCAGGCGCTAGGCGCATTGAACGGCGGGACGAGATAACACATGAGCCTGACTTAGTTAGTATATCTTCATTCTAATACGAATTGGCATTGTACCATTTTTATAATAGTGGATGTGTTTTATTCCCCCATAAAAATATATATTTCACTAAGATCGTTTATTTTACCGATATTCTCGTATAATTTTATAGGTCACGAACTAAGTAGTTTTAAATAATCCAGCCGACTGTGATTATTGTTGCCATGACACTTTTCCCCATTTAACCATGCTGTGAGGTTTTTGAGGTTGGTAACATTCCTATGTGTCTCATTCTTGACTCACGAACGGTCATGTGTGAGCAGCAGTGTGGCTCCTGGGATATTTCCCTTATTCCCAATCCTTAAACTTCATTCAATCGTCGTAAAACCACATCCACTTTGCGGCACATGGTGGTTACCGCATAAATGCAGTGACGAAATACGCGTTCGGCGCAGTAATTCAACGGAGTATAAATGAAACTAAAAAGAAAACTGTTCCAAGTTGTGTAGGAGCCAATCAATACTTATTGCATAGTAGTGAGATTTTGAGCAACTTTACCGTACATTTCTATCTTCAGTGACAAACAAAAACTGGCCAGTAGTTTATATATCCACGTAACTAAAGTAGATGGAAAAAAAATGTTGGTATATATAACTTATTCAACGGATTTCAAAGTTCCATTTTTTCCATTGAAGCAAGGAGTTGTAATTCTACATATTAACGTAGATTCCATTTAATAACAAAGTTCACTTCACTTTCAGCCAAAAATAACGACATTAAAACCGACGAAGAATTACTAATTTATCGCCTTTAGTGACAGAGCGCTTTTGTAACGTATGTGAATATAAGAAAAGTCGTACACACACATCCATCAATAAAAAACATAAGTTTGAGAGTCTTTACTATGTTCTGCCTGACAAACGAACTAACAAATACAAAGATTGGTTGGCATGAATGAATGACATTATCGGAATATTACTTTCCACAATCTACATCGAAGAAGGGCTTTGTCCCTGAGAAACGCGCTTTACAGGAAAAGCGTATTGCCTTCCAGCATGTCATTTACATTATTGTAAAGCGAACACAAACGCATACGTACATAGGTCGATTCACAATCCCTGTTGAAAAACTGTGGTCGATTCTAGGTTCTCGCATGTTATCAGTATACGCATTCTCATTGCCATCTGTATATATTCTGCCCTTCTATATGTTGGCAACATCACTAGCAGCTAACAATTAAACAACTTGAAGGCACATTCGACTGACAAACCGACATTTTCTATAGAACGAAGTGCATTCGTGATTTGTTTATCTCAACTATTATGAGTTGGATATCGTTACATGATATTTAACTCATTGAAAGTGTTTTTCTTCAGTGTCTAAGGTTGTAATGTTTTGAAACGTGTTTTTTAAATTTATTTTATGATTAGCCTTGGATCGTATCACTTTTATGGTAAAATGACAATATTTCAATGAATGATAGCAGCAATTTACGCCTTCCTATTTGTTGTCTACAATATATTCTTGTAGCTGAGATGCATCTTTTTATTCCCGTTTTAGTTTAGCTTATGAAAGTGATGAAATTTGAACTCTCTGTTTTCGGTGGAACACACTCACAATCTGGTCGAGAATATTTCTTTTATTGAAAAATGTAAATTTTTGGGACTTAATTTTAATTGATGCATAACTTTTGACTACACATTGAAAACATTAACGCAATAATTGTTAGAATCGTTTGGTATAAGGTATTTATCACACGTATTAAGTGGATATTAGCAAACATGTAAGTTTATTTCCGGCACTGAATACAACATTCAATGTAAAGTAGCTCCAACGTGATTCTTACGATTGTTTTGAAAAGTTCAACTTGAAATATTCATTATCTTGTGTTTCACCTCCAAACGATGTCTGCATTTTGTGAAATTTTGCACAGAATCGGATAACATTTTTCAGGCTAATTTGTGTTTCACCATTTTAACCGAAAAATAGTGTTTTATGCACAATATCAAGACCATTTTACGAATAAAAAAATAACTGCATTTTTATCTAGCTTTCTGAATATGCAGTGAATTTGTCTTCATCGTATATTAGCTCATTTAGCTTATTTTTGACTACGCTCTGGCAATCAAACTAAGGAAATCATACTTATAATACAATAATACAATGACGCCGCGTGCCGTTCAGCATGGGTCCTACGCGAAGCATGATTACATGTATATTACATTGCTTTGTGCCGACTGTAGGGCTAAATTTCATCATTTTCAAAATACATCTATTGAGTTTCGTCGCTCTGGCCATCACCAAGTGTACAACTGCACATCCAGGAAAATCAAACAATTCAATGCGCTTTTCCAATAGAACGCGCCCTCTATCGACAGACCATAGTACGTGTGTGACGTCAAACGCCATTTAGGATATACTAGTAATACATTAAAAATTAATAAATAAATGTTGACCGGCTCACCACAGATCAAACCAAACTCGACGATATTATCGCTTAAAATTATTAAATCATCCAAATGTACGAGATTGAAGTCTGTGGATCATCGTGACAAAGTGCTATCCGACGCAAATGAACACCGATGCCTTGCGTGAGCGAGAGAGCCCCTCAAATAGTGTAGCTATGTTCCCTTCCGTCGAGTCGACTATTCACACTAATATGGTTACATAGGTTAGAAGAACAGTCGATGCGATGACGGGAGATAGTAAAACTATATTTGAGGGACTAAAATAAGTCTCGGGGATATGTCGCTCTCAGCGAGATTTTGGCGCCATTTGCATAAAATGTCCTTTTTGCCGAACTACACTTGCTCTTCAGGATGTGAGAAGTACACTCGGTTTTGTATAGAACGATGAATGATAAATGTCGTCATCAGTACCAACACCCACTTTAATGCACATTTTGTTTTTCTTTACAGAAATATTTCCCAGCAAACGAACACAATTTTCCTGAATTTCAAAGACCCTGAGCTTGAGACCCAGTTTCATTGTGAGAAGGAACGCCAAAGCGCAGTCGCCATTGGCTGCTCCGTCGTCATCATAGTTTTCGCCTTTTTCACACAACTGACAATTTTACCGAGGTGAGCTGATTTCAGAGCCCACTATTTTTGCGCCTTTTGTAGTGTGTGTGGTACTCTTATTTCGTCAATAGCGTTTGAGGTTGGTTCATGACGCCCACAGCCACGAGCTTGACAACCTGCATCGACGAACAGCGATGTTTTCATGATTTTGCCGGTGATATATTTAGAAGGCTATTTAATGTTTATTACATGACGTGCTTCGAACGAGCCTGAAAAAATTGCAGATTTGTGACGTAATCGGACACTAATAACACGGCAAAACCCCGACAATAATAAATATTTACACTCCGAAATCAAGTTTTTACAGACTGACGTCAAAATCAATTGGGGCGTCTAATGCGTAGCCGTTTTAAATTAACAAATCACGTCTCCCCATAGCCCTCGAAACGGCGACTCGAAGTTATCTACATACTTTAAGATATATTCATAATGGCACACTAATTTCTGGAGGATAGACCGTACGCTGCTGCTCTCGTGATAATATGTGTACTAACTGTTGCACAACTACTACGACTGTGTTTATGACAATACTGCACATGCGCACTTACTATTAAACGCGATAACCTCTGATACATGTCCCCGGAGCACGTTGAGTTGACAAGGTTTTTTTTTTTCTTGAATTGTGCAGTTTAATTGTCTTATTTAACGTAGTCATAAATTCCCTACTAAATACTTACTTGACTACTAATGGGGGTTCCTACCCAAGCCAACTAGTGATACCAAAGTAGACATAGTCAGTGTTGCCGAGCGTGTGGGAGTCTATTGAAAATCTGTCAGTTAAATACTCTCTCTATCTCGCGAAATATTCGAACTCGTAAATTGTCTTTGCTAGAAGTGGCGCCCTCTAGAGACTTAGCACTTATCTGACGTCATAATGGCATAGTGAATGAAATTGACAACTGTTAGTTGTGTAATCATTTAGCACCTAGTATAACCTCTCAAAACATGATTTCGTATTGGTAGACAACTACGAATCAACAACATCAATGTTGTTAACGAATTTCTTTTCATCCATTCACGTACCTAAGCGCGTTGTCGCTAGATAAACCTCATATGCGTAATATGCAATTTTAGCGAATTGTAGTAAAATGACGTAATGGCGAAATATTGATTTAGCGAATCTCTCTTGTCATTGTTGATTTCTTTGTTTGGTGGCCATTTTGAATGGATTATAAAGTCTTTGGCGACATCTTGAATTAACGAATCAGTTCTCTCGCTAAATTCGCGAAAAAGACATGCTCGCGAAAAAGACATGTTTTACAGTATTACGACCCACCGTCGTAGGCACGTTCCAATTTAGAGACTTGATCACAGTCCCACACAGATGAACTGTGGCTTGATTATGGTTACCGCTATAATAGTAAGTTCTCTTTGCTAACATTCTTGTCTTTCTTCAGGACCATGGCAAGTTACGTAACCTTTGCAGTGGGTTTATCGCTGCTGTCTCTTTTGACATTCCTATCTGCCGGCACGATATTTCAAGAGAAATTCCCAAAGTCCCTCGTGCGTTTTGCCAACCGGATAGAGACCACTAGGTGGGCACGCAATGTGTGGGCAATGCTGGTCATAGCAATACTCGGAGCCGCAGATATGATAGACATGGTGAGTTTGCTGGTAAAATATCGAGTTGTACATCATATATATATAGTGGAGGGATTATGAATAAGTTCCAGACTATCTGTTGCAATTATTACTGCGTCATAGGTCGGAAATATTAGTGAAAATATAACAATGGATCGTAACGTAGCAAAATGTAATTTCACTGACAAGGACGAAATCAACATAAGTAGTCTGGATCAGCTACCCGATTACAAAATGTCGATAAATTGTGTTACGTATAATTTGTTGGTAGCACATTCAGGGAATATGATTCAAGTTAAAAGTACCATCCGATTAGTTTAGTACAAATTTATGTATAATAATTAGCATAATTTGTATAATCGCTCAATTGTGAATTCTTATTCGTGTTTTGCACACTGCTTTATGTAGCCTAAGATGATGGATGAATACACATAAATATACATCTTACTAATGTAAGTTCAGTTATTCGTACATTACCCAGTTTTAAATTCACATTTCAGTTTTCCTGTGACGTCGAGACAGACTATCCTGAAAACCTGACTGCAATGTACCCATACGATGCCCGTTGCTATTATCCTCAATATTTCGACTTCCTAGCAATTCTAGTCTTGGTGAGTAATGATAAATGTCGATATTATATCAGGCAGTATATAGCTTAAAGCTGGGGGGTCTTCATAAACCAGCGCCTGCCCATGAGCCTATGCGTTTTTAGCGTGCGTTGCTGTCGTCGTCGTTTGGGACTCAATTCCCGCGCGTTCGCCGGTGAACATCCCTCCGCTTCAAACCTTGTCCAGTAACAGCTCACGTCTGAAGATGTACTCCACATGATTAATCTACTACCCGAATTCAAAATATTGATGCAACTGTTTATTTTGTATTTCATTTCGGGGGCGAAATCTTTGAGTTCAGTGTACAAGGCAAAGAAGTAATTTTTCATTTTTTTGTAAAATAACGCTTCACAACGACGCAAGGTGAAAGCAATGTACACTGTATTTAGTTGCACGTTTATAACGACGAAAAAAAACTGCCATTATTTATAATTCTGGCATCAGATTAGTATCCCATCCCGGTTTTGATGGGCTATATAAATCGATTGTCCAGACTCAAAGCTTCACCTATCACGGCGATGAACGCCTCCCTGTCGAACGTGAAGTGTGCAATTAGCGATGACTTCTAACATTACGGTGAAATCACAAGTGCCCATTGCGTAAATTGATTCTGTTTGATCTCTTTGGATCCGCTTTACCGACAACGCGAAGAGATGATTACTTTTTTTTATTAGCGTTGACATAAATCGCTTAGGTTAAATAGGCAACTCCTACTACTTATTTCACTGTACCTTACGCGCCGATTAACAAACACTGCCCTCTATAGTTTCAAATAATGAATACTTTTGTTTTTATCCTCATTGTTAAGTTTCGCAATTTGCACTATGATATACCAACGCTGATGGCGCAATTTACCGACTTGTGTATTTTTTAATTGTTTTCAGATTGGGATAACAATGTTGGTGCAGATTACAAGTGACGTAAAGTTGTTGATGCAGATAGTAATTACTCTCATGTACTGCGTAATAAATATAGTTCTTCTTCCCGAACTTTACGACCGTTATGACGGGTCTATCTACACAGGAGTCTAGTGAGTTTAACATATTCTGATTAGCGACACTATGCCACACACGCCAACAGAGACGCAATGAGATTCATAATAAAATTGATCGCAATATTTTACAATCGAGCTTGAATATACTGTTCATATAGTAAGACATTATACAATTCTTACACGGAGACCTTTAAATTGGACACATTTGTTTGACAATCTAACCGAAAAATCGAAGGAAGTTCCTCTGACAAGTGATTTATGTGGCGGAAGTCGTTGGAACATTCTAACACGAACACATTGCCTGTATTCAGGAGTGTGTTACTTTTATGCGCAAGTGTATTGGTTGTATTCACTTCTAATTTACTTTTTCTTTCAGTGGAACTCACCTTATTCCTACGAAGTATGAGATCACGGCAGCGCTTTTAATTATATCTCTGGCGCTGCTTTACTATAACAGACATGTAAGTATAGACGGTCGTCACGACAATGTTAATAGTTTGGTTATTTTCACGTTTCTTTTTTCGAAATAGTGATATAAACTTTGTAAGTCAAACTTGTTATATATTGTTGTGGACTTTTTTCGAAGCCTTCACATAATAAATGACAAGTATTCATATAGTATGGAAGGCTCTAATGTATAAATTCCACTGCAATTATAAATATGTCATGTTATGTTCTTGACTTGAAGATGGAGTTGACTTCGAGGTTGTTGTTTTTATGGAGAGTCGAAGCAAAAAACCAAAAAGACGAAGTTTATGAATTGCGAAGAAAGAACGAAGCGTTAATAATGAATATCATGCCGTCCCATGTTGCCAAACATTTTCTTGGAACAAAACGGAAAGACGAGGTAATTTAATTAATATAATAGCCGCTCGAATTTTTGTTTGTCTCCGTGTAAACTTAATTTCGGATTATGGTGACTAATGTTCTGTTATTTGTTGCAGGAGTTATACAGCCATTCTTATGACGAAGTAGGGGTCATATTTGCATCAATTCCAAACTTTTCCGAATTTTACACCGAGGATCTGATAAATAACCAAGGGGTGGAGTGTTTACGTTTCCTGAACGAAGTTATCTCTGACTTTGACGGTGTAAGTACTTTCCCTATACCTTTCCGCATGTGACGCCCTCTAGAGACTAACATAAAAAGATGATGTAATGTATGTACTAGTATTTCGAGTCGTTCCAAAGGGAGCTGTGTTTGGCGGTGTACTAATTCGTCGTTTACAATAAGGCAGATGTCTAAAACAGTGTTTGTATTATTAATGGTCGGCTACAAATTAAAACAAAAACAGCAGAATGGCAGAATCATTATGTTTTTTCTAACATGCAATGCCACCAAATCATCATATGATGTCAAACTTTACGCATACTCCATTGCTGGAAAATCAAGATGGCAGACTACATAGTACTGACGAAAAGTTGAATATCTAAAGACTAAAAAGTGTTATAAAAAAACGGAAAATTGCATTCTCCCACATTTGTGGAGCTCTTTCATCTGAGAGTACTATGCTGTTTGCCTTCACTTCCCCTTTATAGTTGTTTGTGATGTTGTCACGTGATTAGTAGTCATTATGTAGAAAGTAGTTGCATGCTGGGAATATCACCAATGTGCCATATTTACATACCGAGTCTCCATGCCAATAATTAGCAATATTATGACGTAATTATGACATTCTACTGTATTTCGTATTTCCCAGCTCTTAAACGAACCTCGTTTCAAGACTATTACCAAGATCAAGACCATATCCAGTACGTATATGGCGGCGTCCGGGATGTCGACAGACTTCGACAACTTAGTGTCTTCTGGCACGAGACAACGATGGTCACATCTCGCCGATCTGGTCGAGTTCTCGTTGGCACTCAGAGAAAGTCTGGATAAAATCAACCAACAATCATTTAACAACTTTATTCTCAGAATAGGTGAGGAGGATTTTTTCGATTAAATTGCGCCCTCTAGTGTTTATTACTTCTGTTGAGTAGTTGTTACTTCATTTGGAAAACGACGAAACAATGGCGATATGATTGACTGTATTTCTATTGGCAGCTTTGATCCCCGTAGGAAGGAACAACTTTGAAGCCTACCTTACATTTTTACATAGCCTACATTATTGAGAATGTTGTCGTAAATCGCACGACAATGTTCTTGGGTTTATTATGTAAAAGTACGCCGTTATAGTTCTCATGGCAACACGAAACAACATTCTATGATGTAGTGCAGAACCATGTTGGCCAAATATTATTTCAAAACTTTCTGTTGTTTTGTTTTGAACAGTTGCATGAAACAAAATGTTAAAGTAAAAACCGATTTTGTGTATTTTTTTAAAAACCCGAGATTGTTGAAACACGTCAGAATGCTATGATTTACCCATCCAACAATTTGACATGTGGCATAATAACAAGATACAATTAATGGCAAAGAGAAATGAAAAGTAGGGGTACTCGAACTTATTTTATGCATCTTTGACTATATTTACGACTAACACTTATTTCCTTTTTTCATGAAGAATAAAAAAAAATCCTCATCACCGAATTCATACTTTTCTTTATTTTTATTTCTAGGTTTAAATAAAGGGCCGGTCCTAGCTGGTGTAATAGGGGCAAGGAAACCTCACTACGATATATGGGGAAACACAGTAAACGTCGCCAGTCGTATGGAAAGTACTGGAAAAGCCGGACATATACAGGTGAGCCTACTCTACTCTAATTATTTGAATTGCTATCATACAGTTCATCTTTGAGGTTTACCATGAGAACATATAATTAAAATTTCGTGACTTAAAATAAGCTTTTACTTCATAATGTTTTTCACAATCTACAGATAAAAATATATTTTCTTTACTTTTCGCACAAAAAAAAAAAAAAAAAAAAAAAAGGTCAAACATCAACGTGAACAAATGAGGATGTGTACAAATCAATCATTATATACAATTTCTCAAAAAAAAAATAATTTGTCCATTATTTGTATTTATGAATTTCAAAGGCTTTACACATGTTAAAGCTCATTGTAACATCTTGGATTTGAGCGTGCCTACTTAGAAACGTTCAAATGAATGGATCCCAACTTCTTTGTGATAAATTGCGCCCGCTAGCGAAGAATCGTGTTTGCAATATCATAAAGACGTATAAATGTAAGAAGGGCAGAACGAGTACATATATACATATATTTGGTGGTTTAGCCTGTCATTTTTTTATTATTTGTAAAGAAATTTTTAAATATATTTCAGAGAAATGAACGCTACAATATATTGCCAATGATACTAATGACAAAAAACATCACTGTTTTATCCACGCAGGTTGTCGAAGACACAATGAAGTTACTACGTCCATTCGGGTATAAATTTGAGCAGAGGGGTTTGGTCAAAGTCAAAGGCAAGGGCGAACTCCTGACCTTTTACCTCATCGGAAAAGAAGATGGCTGCAATGCTCTACCAGGTGCCATATCGTAGCACCGCCGCTGTTTTGACAGACAACTTCTCATGTTTTGAATTTACAAAATTAAGTGCATTTACTTAAAACAAGAGTTGTCAAGAGTTTTTAACACCACGGCGTGATCAAATCGAGCTATCGTCGTCCATGTTGAAGTACATTGTCAACTATTTTTCTACTATTAGCATATTTATATTCAGCTGATATCTATGCATTCTTTGATACGTGTTATCTCACGGAAGCTGACACAACTAGCAATAGAATATTTCACTATGTTTCACATATAAATGCCAAATACTTAACACATTCGACATCGAATTTGCGCAATATTAAACGATGAGCTTATATGATGCTTACTTCAAGAAAATTTACAGTCTTAATTATACAAATCTGCAAGTAAGGCAAGACAAA